TCGTCCACAAAATATTTCACCAGTTATTATTTTAAGTTTTGTAAATCTAAAAAACGAACTCTTAGCTTTTCTAGGATGCCACTGCTATATATTAGAAAGATTGACTATCTTATACGCTATGTTTGATTTTTTTTATTCCTCTTCTCATAAAGTAATCTACAACACATGCGCAATACATTCACAAGTAAACAAACAATCAATTGTAGCATGCACAATATTTCCAGGATTTTTTAGAATATTTTCTACTTTAAGGAACAAAACTCTCCTCGACGCTCAGATTAGCGAATACAAAAAAAAAACTATCTGCAATACCAAAGGCATATGATACTTCACAGGACAAAATAAATCCAACACCTACCGCAACAACACATTTACATCACCATCATGATAATCACCCTTTATCTTTAGTAACACGAAATTATAGGAACACATTAGCAATAACAGAACACACTTCTCAAGATCATAGCTACCAACAAAAGTCTAGTATCTCATATATCACTCCACCAGTCAACCATTGATGACACATATGAGCAGAACAACCACATACAACAAATTTTCGTTCTCAAACAACCATCTTATTAGCACAAGATGAGCCGACAGATTGGATACCTCAGCCATTCCCTTTTCTATCCATTCAACATTCAATGCCACTCCTCTCGCATTTCACTTTCAGCTTTCAGACCTGACTTCTTCTCCCCTGCCAGTCTTTTGAACTAACTCACCACGCACAGATTCAGATGATTCGACACAAACTGATTTAAATAAGATTTCTAACTTTAACAACTCCGATGTGAAAACTTCTGATGAGTTCCTACACTCAGAACTTAGCCCATCCACTTTTTGAAAGCCACCTTTCCAACAGCTTACTTCCCAACTTCCAAATGAATCCTCTCCGGCCCCCTCTTCCTATACTGACGCCACTCATAATCTTTCCCCGATGTCCAGCGACCAACCCGATCCACCTAGCCCCAAGAAACATAACTAGCTAGAGCATGAGTTAGACAACTTCATAACACTACAAGAGTACATTCATAACACAAGCAATCTAACAATTCACCAACTAACACACTCTACCTCAACATCAGAATCTTCAATTCCACCCGCAAATGCAGATTTTACACGAGCCCATAGAATTTTTAAACGCGTCCCCAATCATCCCGACTATAGTCCCTTCACCCACAACATACTAACACCAAAAAAGTTTTATATTACGACTGGCCATTTTTCCCTCAATATACTCACTACACGACCACTTACGAAAACCAACTGAACTTCGTTGATGAATATAGCCTGGTTCCCCATTTCTTGGACTCAACACTATCATTTTACTAATCCATTGGACCTTCCCTTATACAAAACCCGCAAAAACAACAAATTATGCCAAATCCGACTACACAAACTAACAACCGCACTTCATGAAAAACATTTCACTCAATCGGATTTAACCAAACACTTAACAGATTCGTAGAAAAACGCGCAATTAGATTCTCCATCAACCACTATGATCACGCAATATTATGCTACATGGAAGATACCCCATGTGAGGACGAGCCTCATTTTAACACACTACTAAGAGAAAAATTCTTTTTTAAATCTTCAATTTACATAGATAGTATTAACAAAAAATTCGATAACATCATCGCCACAGCACTAAAAAATTTTAAAGCATACGAGCCATGATTTAATAATTTTAACCATTTTGCACTAACTTTCCATTTTTTTCACCTCAGGAACGTGACTTACACTGTTCTCATTAAATCATGTTACGAACAAATTTAACACATACATATACATATTACAAATTCAAACAACATCATTATACATCAAATACACCAACACGTAACCCACAACACAGAATTACTTTCATTAACTCAAAATACACTTCACCATATTTCCTTAGTTTCACTTACTGCATAAACAGCACCAATTTCAAGGCATCCTCCGTAACTATGATCCCAAATGTATATATTCTGCCCACTAATCAAATCCTTTGATGTTGATGACTCCCGCCCACTAACTGTCCCCCACAAATATATACAGCCCATTGATTTCACTATACTAGAATATATGCATACCACACTCTAGTTATAACATGAAATGTATAATTTATTTCAAAACACACGTTAATAATTCTCACTTGATAAAACTAAACATCATCAAGAACGCTGGAGCTTCTCTGGCCTCTACTTTAAATTTAAAAAAATCAACCGCATGCTTAGGAAACTTTTCACATCATCAGACAGAATCCGCACTAACTTCCCCAATGGATTTTTTACCGATGACAACCCTCCGTAAGTATACATTAAATATTTCAACTAATAAATAAACCAAAACATTCAGCATTCTTTATAAATTTCTCATTTTCCTTTTTTAGTTTTCGCCGATCATTCATCTAAAAAGAAAAAATTTAAACAAAAAATAGTAGGCAATTTTTTCTAAGCTTTCCGATTTCTATTTAACAATTACAATAAATTACTAACGCAATAAGTTTCAATACAACAGCAATTTTTTAAAAACTCGGCAGTAAAGTTAATATTATTACAGCAGTAAACTCAAACAAATGGAAGTGAACTGAATGAAAACTAACCTTTTTATGTGACGATTCTTTGAAATTGTTTAGTAATTCTTGACTCGCCTACAATTTTCCCACTCTTTCCACCAAATCGCCCAACTCAGTGATTGCTTAATAAATGAATTTCAAGTTCAAATCTAACTGATAACAACTCTAACTTGTTTTCATGCGTTTCAACTTTCGTTTGACCCGGTTGGAAGAAATTATAAGAGTAAGCTTAAGCTAACCAATGCAGCTTATTAACGCCACAACACTATAAGCATGAATAAGAGAAAAAAATCCCACGGTACCCGAACCGGATAACACCCAGATTAAAACTGGATAAAATATTCTTTTGAAACCCACTTTCATGTTTTATTGATAACAAATGAAACATTAAAAAGTGAAAAAAAAAATAACATAATGATATACTTTCGAGAAAAGGACACAACCAAAACAAAAAAGAAAAAACACCTGATAAAATGAAAACAGAAGGTTAAGCACAAAAAGAGACTCTGCCCAAAGAGGCGGTCAAAATGTAACCCACTCTGGCCTCACAACCCAGATTGCTGTCGCTCAAAGTACATGCCCGCACCATATGCTACGACCCAGATACGCTATTTCTGATAAGAGTGGCTCGAGGTTGAGCACTTTTTTTTAAAATAACCGAACTAAATGAAAACGCTTTTGCGAAAGCAACTAATAAAAAAACATAACTAAAATCTGACTTCACTAACAAGATGTAGATATATAAATGCAACGTAAAAGGTTTCTTAGAGCCAAAGGAACGAGCAGCAAAGGAGATGAAAACTTGATTACATTCCAACTCTGGATTGACAAATCTATTGGTTTGTTACCGTAGTCACTACCCTCAGAGGATTTAAAGTATGGACTAAACATAGCTGCAAAGGAAACCATTGAAACAGACCAATGGTCAACTTGATATTGATCTCACATACCGATCTTAGTCACTTCGCACTTCACACGGAAAGATCAACTTCATCTTCCACGAAGTCTTGCTCTAAGCTTAACGAAACAGACACGTCACTGCATCGATCTAGAATCTTAACACAATCACTCAAGACGACCCACGATCAAACGAGACCCACTTTTGAAACACGAACAACTGTTCTTCTCTTCTCTTCACGAAGTCACTGCTCCAACTACTAAAAAAACTACCACAAAGGATATGAAATCTCTCTATCCGTCCTTCACTACGGTAAACAATTTAAAACTAAAAATTCTCTAAACCCCGGATGGGTGGAACGAGTTCTGGACGAGTATTTATAAACCAATTATATTATTGACAAAACTATCCCTATAAATTATTACTAACCAACCAATCATATTCCATCACTAACACTGACAGTTATCTGTAAGTGCTGAAACTACTTGTAGTTTCAGCACCAGACTAATTTTAATAAACCTTAGACTACACTTGTTCTACTTTCGGACAAGCTTCAAGATTAACTCGCAAATAACAAAATGCACTAGATTTATCGAGACTAGGAGATATAAGAGTAAGATTAAGATTGGTATTAGACCAAGAAGTTGCACGAATCTATCCGGCCGAAAATAAGATAACGCGATGAACAGACGGTGTGCCTTATCTGAAACTACTCTATGAGAAAGCTACCTCCTGCTTGAACTCAGAAAACAACCAAAAAGCTGGCTGCAAAGTCTCAACTTTTTAGTTTTTGGAATTTACCAAGCTGAAAATTGAGCTTGGCTGGGGTTCGAGTTAAGCAAAATCAATTCCAGTTTTCTTGAAGTTTTTTTATCTAGAAAAGTTTATTTAGTTTTAATGCATTTAATTGTTTCTAATTAGTTTTTGAATCGATTTTTTTCCAAATGGCGATGTTTTTTTCTTTCAAAAAGTTCGTTTGTAAGACTTTCACCAGCTGTAGCATAATTTAATTTTTATATAATTAACATATTGCAATGAGGAAAAAATGTCGTCTGTCGGCTTCATGTCATGTTGTACTTAGCTAGTACCAATTTGAGCCCGTACGGAGTCAATGGACCCAATTAGCGTCCATTTAGTTACAGTGATTTTGAGCGCGGAAAAATTTGCCGCACTCAAAGAACTCGCGCTCTTGAGCTAGGCATCCTTTATTTTTTTTGGCATGGAGTGCGTAAAATGAGTCCAAATTGGCAATTTTTAAACCCCCATTACCCCAATAAAAAGGATCACCTGTAAAAATAAATAATATTTTTTTTATTTAAGCTCAGGATATTGACAATTTTTACATGATTTTAAGAAATTCCGTCGAAAATGGCTTCCGATAAAAAGTTGACATTTGTCTGAAAAATTCACTTCGAGCACAAATAGTCCGTTAATCTCTGAGACTCGGAATAAAAAGGTAAAAAATTTAGTAAAAGTGGGTTAGTTTTCAGAGCAGTGGTTATATTGCATATTTTAAATCAGAGTATACTAAACTTGTTTCAGTTGTCATAACCGAAACACCGGGTGTAAAACTACGTTTATGGATGGGCGGCCTCTGCACGAAGAAAGAAAAAAGTGCCCCGGAACTTCCGGAGGAGGTCGATCTCTCCCACTTCCAAATCCTCCGATCAATCGGAAGGGGCGCATTCGGAAAAGTCTGTATCGTGAAGAAAATCGATACGGACAAATTTTACGCCATGAAATACATGAACAAAAAAGCTTGTCTGCAAAATAAAGCGGTTGAGTATGTGTTAAAAGAACAACAGATTCTTATGGCGTTAACTCATACTTTCTTATGCAATTTATGGTACACATTTCAAGACCAAGAAGACATGTTTATGGTCAGTGAGCTGTTCCGAGGTGGTGATTTAAGATTTCATATTGACTCAAAATCGACTGTTTTTGACAAACATACGTTGAAAATTTACGCGTTGGAAATTGGTCTCGCGTTGGATTATTTGAAATCAAAAGGGGTGGTTCATCGAGATATTAAGCCAGATAATATTCTTCTGGACGAAAACGGACATCTGGCGCTGACAGACTTCAATGTGGCAGCTATTTGCACTTCGGAGAAACGACTTACAAATTTAGCAGGCACGAGTTCTTTTCTAGTTTACAACCATTTGCAGATGATATATGAGCTATTTTTCATCGTTGAAGCTCGCAACCAATTAGAAATACAAAAACTTATAGTCATTTATGATTTTTGGGTGTCTATGATTTATGCGAGAACATGACTGGAAAAAAATTTGTTTAAATATCTAAGTCAAAGTATTAATCTATCAATATGTAATAACGCGAACTCATCATTATTTGTTAGTGAAAATGATAAAGCAATGAAAAATGAAAAAGCCCTTGAAATTGACACTTTCTATTTTTGGGCAAACCTTTCATTGAAAACTATTATAAATCAGATTGATCTTAGTTCTCTGCCATAAGGAAAAAGGCAAATTGGTAAAAGTGTGCACAACTGCTGTGATTAGGGACGAAGCACTACATGGCACCCGAGTTACTAGAGACGGCCACTCGGAAGTCGAAGAGCTACTCGTTCGAAGTGGACTGGTGGTCCACAGGCGTCACCCTCTACGAGACATTCAGGCACTTTTCCACTTTTCCCCCTCCATTCCCCCACCCCTTTACTCACCTTAACTTATACACGAGGAAAAAACACACAATATACAAGCGTCATTTCGTGAAGCCGCCGTTGCGCCACGTAATTGAAAAATGATTGTATCGAAATATTTTATCAAATCGTCATGTCGGATTAAAAGAACTGAAAATATTCCGCAAGCGTAATTAGTACGTACCTTGAAAAGTTTCTGAGCTTGTTAATGAATATATTATATAACCAGATAGGTTAACAGGATGATTCGGGGTTTGAGGGAAAAGTGATACCCTGCTTTAGACGCCGACTGCCATACGAGATCCCGAACAACGTGCAACTATCTGATTGTTATCGCTTCATTAAAACCACAGATGTCAAATGGACCAGTAAAATATCCGCTTCGAGCTATTAGGCTGAATTTTCTAACCAAAATGTAACAGAAAACTAAAATATTTTATTGATTTGATGAATTACATACCATCTTCCAGTAGTGGACTTTTTACTATCAAAATGGTTCAAAATAAATAACACATTTTTATCAATCAAAACTTTGCACAAAAAACTACGTTTTTTTTCAAAAAAAATACTCAGTAAGAATTGAAAATTGAAACCGAATAACTTTTTCCCCAGGCATTTACAGAGTTTCAAGGAAAAAATTGCACCCTTAAACCTCAATAAAACATTTTCTGTCAATGCGAGGGATGTTTTCACGACCCCCCTGACTGGGATCCCGATTTCGTGGAAGTGCTGAAGGCCATGCTGGATGTTAACCCGAAACACAGAGTGAGCAGCTGCGACGAACTGAACAGAATGAAGTTCTTCGGGGGTATGAAGAAAGAAGAAGTGCTGAACAAACTTGTAAGGCCGAGTTTCGTTCCATCGGATAAGAATATTAATTGCAACGCTACTTTCGAACTTGAAGAGATGATTTTGGAGGCGGAACCCTTGCATAAAAAGGGATCGATTTATTCTTTTGTTAAAGTAGCTCATTTTTTTCGGGTTGCAACTCAATTGAACACTGAGCTTAAACGAGAAAGAATCCAAAGAAGAAATCCAAAGATGATAACATGTAATAATTTGAAACTGCTGAAAAAGTTGTATTTAAATTTCGTCGGCTATTTTTGAAACGCTTGAAACTTTTTGTTTAGATTTGCGTGAATATCAACTTGCTCTCTTAAAAACTGGAAAAAATAAAGTAAAATGGCTTGAAAATTTTAAAATGTTCGCAGAAGCACCAATATTTTTTTAAATCGAATCCACATCCACGCCAGAGCTTGTGAATTCAAAATTTTCAATGAATAGTTCAAAAAACTAGGTCCATATTTAAATTTTAAATCGATCCATGTACAGAAAAAGCGACTGAAAGAAATGGAAGAGAGGAAGAGCTTTGACGCCGAAGCCGACAACCAAATGTTTGCAAAGTACCTCAACTTCGACCGAATGAAAGACTGGAAAGTAGACGTGCAATTAATCGACAACGAGATGCTCAAACAAGACTTGGCCGCTGCACCTCTGGCTCCAACTCTGAATCCGAGCCCATTGCCACCGACCGAAGAGTCAGGAGGGCCGAAAGCGTCGGGGGGAACGCCACCACCGGAGCCGGCTTTGAACTTGGATGGACCTGGCGCTGCGCCTCTGGATAAGAGGATGAGTTTGAAGTCGAATAAGACCTAGTCATTTCTAGCCAAGCTGAAACAACAAAGGGACAGGAAAAGAAAACAAAGAAAAAACATTAATTTCATTGCACCAGCTCTTCTCATAATTACGAACTCAGATTGACTTAGAGGAGGCAGCGAATGATTACTAGAACAGATTTCGATATTCTTGAAATTGTAGCATCTTTCTGCCATTCTATTTTGAGCTTTTAAAGAATGGGATCTCATTCATTTTATACTCAAAAAAGAATAGAAAAAAATGATACACTTATAACAAAAATCCTCAACGAATTGGAAAATTTGCAATTTGGTTGTTTTGGCGTCAAGATAATTGTTTGATTTGCAGGTGCAGACATTTTGGCGCCGAAATTGGAGTGATTGAGAAAACGCGTTTAAATTATCTGAAACCTCCCCGTTATCACTTTAAATTCTTCTCAATTTGTGGGTTGTGTTCTTTACCGACCACAATTGATAAAGACCTTACCGACCACAATTGATAAAGACTCAAAGCTAGATTCACCAAAAGTTGGACGTTCTTGCATGCACAACCCATTGAAACGATCTGAAAGTAGATCATATACAAATTAATGAAAGTAGCCGATTTCTACTTTTTGGCAAACACTTTCAAATAAGCTAATTTTATGATTTTGAAGTTTCAAATAATTGTGCCTTGAGCAGGGCATACAATACTTTTCAAAAACAGCTTTTTTTTTAGCGTATTTGAAGAAATTTATTTCTGAAAACGGAAGAATTATCCAATTATCGGGGTTCCAGAATTACGTTAACTACAAAAAAAGTTTGCTTGCATAATTTTATAGGCGTATGGGGGTCTGGATGACAAAGATCGACTGTGTGGGAACAAATGGTTATGGCAATGGCACTAAGGCCTGGAAGCTGCTTCAAGAGAAATTCTGCAGCGTAAAGAGGCCGTTCATGGTCCGTGTAGTAGGCTAGCTTGCGAGGATCAGAGAAGGATCCCGACGATTGCTTCGTTTGCAGCCAAGAGCTGATGAGGCGGTTGAGCGAAGCTGGAGTAGGAATCACGGAAGGAAAACTATTCAAAGATCTGGTGGTTAATGGGCTGCCTGACAGCTATGAGCATTTTTTGGTGCAGGGGAGCTTGCAACCAGCCGAAAACTTTGCGGAGCTGAGAACGAGACTGAGGAGCTAGAATGAATCGAGCAAGGCTGCATGTGGATGGACTAGACGTGGTCACATAGCCATTCAAGCTGCAAGAAAGAAGAAAAAAGTGTCAAGTAGTGGCTGCTAGGTGTGCTGCCAGTAGGTTCATATAGTGAAAAATTGTTAAACCAGAAGTTATCGTGGAAAATTTAATGCTCGAACCAGCGGGTTGATCGAAGCAAGTGGGCCGAGTGAAAAAAAGCAAGGGTGCCTCAAGTGCGGGCAACCTGGACATTTTGCCAAGTAGTGTAAGCAGGGGAGGACAGGGTTCTTCTTTTGCTGTGCGAAATTTTCAATAAGGAAGACGACCTCATTGTGGATTCGGGCGGGATGCATTGATCTTGTAATGCTCAACAGGGCTTTTTTTAAGCTTTGAGAGCTGAAACAATGGAACAATAGTGGAGAACCTCAACAGAACACTGTTAAGTGTTGAGGGCAAAGGATAAGTGGAAATGGAGATCAGGAACTGCCACAACACTGTGAGGAGGAACATTTTTCACAACGTACTGTTTGTGCCGAGCTGCAATGTGAACTTGATGAGTGTAGCTCGGCGGTGGCTAGGTATCTGCTGACACCCCATGGAGGACAGCTACCTCTTAAGCAGCGCGGTATGCCTTTGTTTTTTCAGTGAAAGTTCAGTAGGATCCAGTGACATAAGCAAAGGGGGAAACCAGTTATACAATGTTGTGGCACCGACGACTGGGGCACCTCAACCAGCAGGACTTTTCATCGCTTAACAATGTAGACGCTCTAGGGTTCTGCGATGTGTTTACAGCTTCCAAGCAGGGGCAACAGCTATTCAGTGACATCAGGGGATCCTTTGAAGTACTGAGCCTTTTTGGTGCTCGCTATACCTTGAGCTTCATCGACGAATTCAGTCGGCTAGGTGTGGTCAAGTACCTGGGGAATAAGAGTGATTCCTTACTGAAGTTTCAAGAGTTTGTGGCTTCAACAGTTTCAACAAAAAGCACCGGAGTGCCTGTTAACTGACAATAGAGGTGAGGATTCGTCAAATGTAATCAGGAGATTTTGAAAAGAATCCCAGGTGAAGAAAATTTTCAAGGAGCCCATCACTCCCCAACAGAAAGGTGTAGTAAAGCGCTGCAACAGACTGATCACCGCAAGGACTGAATGTCTGCTGGCCGAAGCAAAACTATCGAAGATGTTCTGAGTGTGAGCAATGTCGACAGCTGTGAGAGTTCGAAAATTGTGTCCCATATTCAGAAATGAGAAGCGTTTTTGATCAACGGAGATGCACATTTGAAAATTATCAAACTGAGTTTTTTGCGTGTGCTCGGTTAACTGGCGTACTATCTGATCGACACACAGGCAGAAACTGGATCCAATGGTCAGGAAAAGCAAGTTCATCGGCTAGGATGAGGAGATCAATGCCTATTTTTGATGGAGACAGGACAAGTTGTGCAAGCAGGAAGCGGGTTTTTTAATGAAATCATCATTGCATTTGACTTCAAGCTTCACAGTGAGCTAATGCAAACCCTGGAGCTATCAATTGAGGTACAAATTTTTATTGAGCAACCAAGCATTCAGACAACCAGCTAAGCAACAAGAACGGAAACTGAGGGTGATACTGCAGATTGAATGGGGCTACTGACGATGATCAAGACGAGGATGAAGCAGTAGATACACACTCTATTGAGCATCCCGTGCAGAGGTCCATTAGGACGAGGAACCCATCCATTTGATACGGACTGCCCTATATCCATGTTTCAGCGAGTGGAATCCAAGAGCCAAGCGGCTATTCAGAAGCAGTGCCGGAGCCCGAAAAGGAGATGCGGCTGGCAGCCATTGTCTTAGAAGTCAAGACTCTAGAAGCCATGGTAACATGGACAACTGTTGATGAACCAAAATCTCGAAAGCTGTTCCTGGACGATGTGTTCTTGCTGTGACGAGAGATGCGATAGAACAAGCAGGGCGGTTCCTAGCTCGACATGTAGTGAAGGGGTTCATGCGAATGGAAAGACTTTAATTCAATAAGACATTTGCTTCGACCTCTAAAACCGGAACAAAGAAAACTTTTCATGATCTTGGTTCCGGTGTGAACTTGATGAGTGTGAACTTGATGAGTGTAGCTCGGCGGTGGCTAGGTATCTGCTGACACCCCATGGAGGACAGCTATCTCTTAAGCAGCGCGGCATGCCTTTCTTTCTTCAGTGATGTTCTGAGTGCGAGCAATGTCGACAACTGTGAGAGTTCGAAAGTTGTGTCCCACATTCGGAAATGAGAAGCGTTTTTGATCAACAGAGATGCACAATTGAAAATCATCAAACTGAGCTAATTGCGTGTGCTCGGTTAACTGGCGTACTATCTGATCGACACACAGGTAGAAACTGGATCCAATGGTCAGGAAAAGCAAGTTCATCTGATAGATAGATGAATAAGTCAGCCTTAGTCAACTCTCCTGTAATAGAGACAGTCCCAACGGAGCAGCCAACTGGGTTCAGCAGCTATCAAAGCCAAGTGTGTTTCCTACAACGAAATTTTTATCAGCGCAGAGCAAGAGACTAGTACCTGACGTTGATTACTTTCCTACTTGATAAAGGGTTCACGGGAAGCAGAAACGAAATTTTTTTTTCACGTTGAGGAGAGCAATGATTAATGGGATGGTTTGGGTAGATGACTTCATCTTTGGGTGAAGACGTCACGATGAAAAGGGTAAGATGAGGGGCGGTTATCCGAACGATTCAAGTGGGATGACATAGACGTTTTGTCCTGGCTCCTGATACTAACGGTGAATCGACGATTGCTTGTACAGGCGGTGTCCATGAAAGCTGAAGACTACAGAGGTTTTGTGGGCTCCTTATTATTCGTAGATAAGCCGTGATATCTTAGCTACTGTGATACAGCCGTGATATCCTAGCTACTGTGACGCAACTCTCCAGTTTTCTTGAGAATCTGGAAAAGTGCACAGGGTGGCTGCAAAGATTTTGTTACCTAAGATCTGGAGCTGTGCCACACCAAGGACGCTGATGGTGCAAGGCTCTATGGATCCGAAACTCCACAGTTCTGGCTGACAGAAGATCAACTACTGGCTACAGCTTTCAGCTTTGTTTTGCAGAGGGCATGGGCAGCAATTAGATTGAGCACCAAGAAGCAACCAACTGCAGCCATATCTACCAGTGAGGCTGACTACTAAGCAAAGGCGGTAGCGGTTCAAAAGGCTCTAACTCAGTGATCTTTTTCTCGATGAGATGGGAGTGGTGAATGACGGACCAACAGTCATCAAGGAGGACAACAGCACAGCTGCATCAAGATATGCAAGACTCCTGTGATGCAGAAGCGAACGAAGCGCATCGATGTAAAATAACTTTTTGTTCGAGAAAGAGTGGAAGATGAGACAGTTAAACTTCAGTATTGCCCTTTTGATATCGTTAAGGCTAAGGTGAAACAACATCGTCGAATCTTGATGTGTTGCAGTCTGACATATGTCAAAGCCAATTGAGCCTAAGTGAGGTTATTGAGGTCAGACAATCACAAGATCAGACATATTAATCGACGCGAATCAGTTTAGAGGTCAAACTGATTAAAATAGTCATAACTGACTTAACTCAGACAAGGTCAACTAGTGATCACAAACTTTTTATTCATTCAGCAATTTTTTATTTGGTACTTTTGTGATGCTTAGTTTATCATGTCTCTATCTTCATTTTCTCAATCCATTTTTCAAAAATCCCTACTTTTTCTCAATCCTCAGTTCAAACTTCAGGTTTTATCTCAATCTCTATTCCCAGCCCTTAATTCTAGTTGCTCTAACCCTGAATCTTAAAAATAATTTATTTGTTTTTCATACTTTATATCGTAACATCGAATGTTTAGCCGTTACAGCACGTAAAACAGTAATTACAACAGTAAAACAGCTATTGATTTTTGGAATTGAAACAAACTAAAGTCATTTATTTGCTTGCTTTGGTTTCTGTTTTGAAGACTTTTTTGTTTCAACAATCGGAGAAATTAGGGAATATAAATTTTTGAGGTTGTTTTTCTTCGTTCAAACGATGGGAAAACCACATATTAAATAAAACAATTTATAGTATTTTTTTTTAGACAAAATTCGACTTTTTAACTAGCAAAAAATTTAGTAAAAGTGGGTTAGTTTTCAGAGCAGTGGTTATATTGCATATTTTAAATCAGAGTATACTAAACTTGTTTCAGTTGTCATAACCGAAACACCGGGTGTAAAACTACGTTTATGGATGGGCGGCCTCTGCACGAAGAAAGAAAAAAGTGCCCCGGAACTTCCGGAGGAGGTCGATCTCTCCCACTTCCAAATCCTCCAATCAATCGGAAGGGGCGCATTCGGAAAAGTCTGTATCGTGAAGAAAATCGATACGGACAAATTTTACGCCATGAAATACACGAACAAAAAAGCTTGTCTGCAAAATAAAGCGGTTGAGTATGTGTTAAAAGAACAACAGATTCTTATGGCGTTAACTCATACTTTCTTATGCAATTTATGGTACACATTTCAAGACCAAGAAGACATGTTTATGGTCAGTGAGCTGTTCCGAGGTGGTGATTTAAGATTTCATATTGACTCAAAATCGACTGTTTTTGACAAACATACGTTGAAAATTTACGCGTTGGAAATTGGTCTCGCGTTGGATTATTTGAAATCAAAAGGGGTGGTTCATCGAGATATTAAGCCAGATAATATTCTTCTGGACGAAAACGGACATCTGGCGCTGACAGACTTCAATGTGGCAGCTATTTGCACTTCGGAGAAACGACTTACAAATTTAGCAGGCACGAGTTCTTTTCTAGTTTACAACCATTTGCAGATGATATATGAGCTATTTTTCATCGTTGAAGCTCGCAACCAATTAGAAATACAAAAACTTATAGTCATTTATGATTTTTGGGTGTCTATGATTTATGCGAGAACATGACTGGAAAAAAATTTGTTTAAATATCTAAGTCAAAGTATTAATCTATCAATATGTAATAACGCGAACTCATCATAATTTGTTAGTCAAAAATGATAAAGCAATGAAAAATGAAAAGCCCATAAAATTGATAATTTCTATTTTTGGGCAAACCTTTCATTGAAAACTATTATAAATAAGATTGATCTTAGTTCTCTGCCATAAGGAAAAAGGCAAATTGGTAAAAGTGTGCACAACTGCTGTGATTAGGGACGAAGCACTACATGGCACCCGAGTTACTAGAGACGGCCACTCGGAAGTCGAAGAGCTACTCGTTCGAAGTGGACTGGTGGTCCACAGGCGTCACCCTCTACGAGACATTCAGGCACTTTTCCACTTTTCCCCCTCCATTCCCCCACCCCTTTACTCACCTTAACTTATACACGAGGAAAAAACACACAATATACAAGCGTCATTTCGTGAAGCCGCCGTTGCGCCACGAAATTGAAAAATGATTGTATCGAAATATTTTTTCAAATCGTCATGTCGGATTAAAATAACTGAAAATATTCCGCAAGCGTAATTAGTATGTACCTTGAAAAGTTTCTGAGTTGTTACTGAATATATTATATAACCAGATAGGGATTTGAGGGAAAAGTGATGCCCTGATTTAGACGCCGACTGCCATACGAGATCCCAAACAACGTGCAACTATCTGATTGTTATCGCTTCATTAAAACCACAGATGTCAAATGGACCAGTAAAATATCCGCTTCGAGCTATTAGGCTGAGTTTTTTAACCAAATGTAATAGAAAACTAAAATATTTTATTGATTTGATGAATTACATACCATCTTCCAGTAGTGGACTTTTTACTATCAAAATGGTTCAAAATAAATAACACATTTTTATCAATCAAAACTTTGCACAAAAAACTACGTTTTTTTTCAAAAAAAATACTCAGTAAGAATTGAAAATTGAAACCGAATAACTTTTTCCCCAGGCATTTACAGAGTTTCAAGGAAAAAATTGATATATGAGATATGAGCTATTTTTCATCGTTGAAGCTCGCAACCAATTAGAAATACAAAAACTTATAGTCATTTATGATTTTTGGGTGTCTATGATTTATGCGAGAACATGACTGGAAAAAAATTTGTTTAAATATCTAAGTCAAAGTATTAATCTATCAATATGTAATAACGCGAACTCATCATAATTTGTTAGTCAAAAATGATAAAGCAATGAAAAATGAAAAGCCTATAAAATTGATAATTTCTGTTTTTGGGCAAACCTTTCATTGAAAACTATTATAAATAAGATTGATCTTAGTTCTCTGCCATAAGGAAAAAGGCAAATTGGTAAAAGTGTGCACAACTGCTGTGATTGGGGACGAAGCACTACATGGCACCCGAGTTACTAGAGACGGCCACTCGGAAGTCGAAGAGCTACTCGTTCGAAGTGGACTGGTGGTCCACAGGCGTCACCCTCTACGAGACATTCAGGCACTTTTTCCACTTTTCCCCCTCCATTCCCCCACCCCTTTACTCACCTTAACTTATACACGAGGAAAAAACACACAATATACAAGCGTCATTTCGTGAAGCCGCCGTTGCGCCACGAAATTGAAAAATGATTGTATCGAAATATTTTTTCAAATCGTCATGTCGGATTAAAATAACTGAAAATATTCCGCAAGCGTAATTAGTATGTACCTTGAAAAGTTTCTGAGTTGTTACTGAATATATTATATAACCAGATAGGGATTTGAGGGAAAAGTGATGCCCTGATTTAGACGCCGACTGCCATACGAGATCCCAAACAACGTGCAACTATCTGATTGTTATCGCTTCATTAAAACCACAGATGTCAAATGGACCAGTAAAATATCCGCTGCGAGCTATTAGGCTGAGTTTTTTAACCAAATGTAATAGAAAACTAAAATATTTTATTGATTTGATGAATTACATACCATCTTCCAGTAGTGGACTTTTTACTATCAAAATGGTTCAAAATAAATAACACATTTTTATCAATCAAAACTTTGCACAAAAAACTACGTTTTTTTTCAAAAAAAATACTCAGTAAGAATTGAAAATTGAAACCGAATAACTTTTTCCCCAGGCATTTACAGAGTTTCAAGGAAAAAATTGCACCCTTAAACCTCAATAAAACATTTTCTGTCAATGCGAGGGATGTTTTCACGACCCCCCTGACTGGGACCCCAATTTCGTGGAAGTGCTGAGGTCCATGCTGGATGTTAACCCGAAACACAGAGTGAGCAGCTGCGACGAACTGAACAGAATGAAGTTCTTCGGGGGTATGAAGAAAGAAGAAGTGCTGAACAAACTTGTAAGGCCGAGTTTCGTTCCATCGGATAAGAATATTAATTGCAACGCTACTTTCGAACTTGAAGAGATGATTTTGGAGGCGGAACCCTTGCATAAAAAGGGATCGATTTATTACTTTGTTAAAGTAGCTCATTTTTTTCGGGTTGCAACTCAATTGAACACTGAGCTTAAACGAGAAAGAATCCAAAGAAGAAATCCAAAGATGATAACATGTAATAATTTGAAACTGCTGAAAAAGTTGTATTTAAATTTCGTCGGCTATTTTTGAAACGCTTGAAACTTTTTGTTTAGATTTGCGTGAATATCAACTTGCTCTCTTAAAAACTGGAAAAAATAAAGTAAAATGGCTTGAAAATTTTAAAATGTTCGCAGAAGCACCAATATTTTTTAAAATCGAATCCACATCCACGCCAGAGCTTGTGAATTCAAAATTTTCAATGAATAGTTCAAAAAACTAGGTCCATATTTAAATTTTAAATCGATCCATGTACAGAAAAAGCGACTGAAAGAAATGGAAGAGAGGAAGAGCTTTGACGCCTAAGCCGACAACCAAATGTTTGCAAAGTACCTCAACTTCGACCGAATGAAAGACTGGAAAGTAGACGTGCAATTAATCGACAACGAGATGCTCAAACAAGACTTGGCCGCTGCACCTCTGGCTCCAACTCTGAATCCGAGCCCATTGCCACCGACCGAAGAGTTAGGAGGGCCGAAAGCGTCGGGGGGAACGCCACCACCGGAGCCGGCTTTGAACTTGGATGGACCTGGCGCTGCGCCTCTGGATAAGATGATGAGTTTGAAGTCGAATAAGACCTAGTCATTTCTAGCCAAGCTGAAACAACAAAGGGACAGGAAAAGAAAACAAAGAAAAAACATTAATTTCATTGCACCAGCTCTTCTCATAATTACGAACTCAGATTGACTTAGAGGAGGCAGCGAATGATTACTAGAACAGATTTCGATATTCTTGAAATTGTAGCATCTTTCTGCCATTCTATTTTGAGCTTTTAAAGAATGGGATCTCATTCATTTTATACTCAAAAAAGAATAGAAAAAAATGATACACTTATAACAAAAATCCTCAACGAATTGGAAAATTTGCAATTTGGTTGTTTTGGCGTCAAGATAATTGTTTGATTTGCAGGTGCAGACATTTTGGCGCCGAAATTGGAGTGATTGAGAAAACGCGTTTAAATTATCTGAAACCTCCCCGTTATCACTTTAAATTCTTCTCAATTTGTGGGTTGTGTTCTTTACCGACCACAATTGATAAAGACCTTACCGACCTCAATTGATAAAGACTCAAAGCTAGATTCACCAAAAGTTGGACGTTCTTGCATGCACAACCCATTGAAACGACCTGAAAGTAGATCATATACAAATTAATGAAAGTAGCCGATTTCTACTTTTTGGCAAACACTTTCAAATAAGCTAATTTTATGATTTTGAAGTTTCAAATAATTGTGCCTTGAGCAGGGCATACAATACTTTTCAAAAACAGCTTTTTTTAGCGTATTTGAAGAAATTTATTTCTGAAAACGGAAGAATTATCCAATTATCGGGGTTCCAGAATTACGTTAACTACAAAAAAAGTTTGCTTGCATAATTTTATAGGCGTATGGGGGTCTGGATGACAAAGATCGACTGTGTGGGAACAAATGGTTATGGCAATGGCACTAAGGCCTGGAAGCTGCTTCAAGAGAAATTCTGCAGCGTAAAGAGGCCGATCATGGTCCGTCTAGTAGGCTAGCTTGCGAGGATCAGAGAAGGATCCCGACGATTGCTTAGTTTGCAGCCAAGAGCTGATGAGGCGGTTGAGCGAAGCTGGAGTAGGAATCACGGAAGGAAAACTATTCAAAGATCTGGTGGTTAATGGGCTGCCTGACAGCTATGAGCATTTTTTGGTGCAGGGGAGCTTGCAACCAGCCGAAAACTTTGCGGAGCTGAGAACGAGACTGAGGAGCTAGAATGAATCGAGCAAAGCTGCATGTGGATGGACTAGACGTGGTCACATAGCCATTCAAGCTGCAAGAAAGAAGAAAAAAGTGTCAAGTAGTGGCTGCTAGGTGTTATGCCAGTAGGTTCATATAGTGAAAAACTGTTAAACCAGAAGTTATCGTGGAAAATTTAATGCTCGAACCAGCGGGTTGATCGAAGCAAGTGGGCCGAGTGAAAAAAAGCAAGGGTGCCTCAAGTGCGGGCAACCTGGACATTTTGCCAAGTAGTGTAAGCAGGGGAGGACAGGGTTCTTCTTTTGCTGTGCGAAATTTTCAATAAGGACGACGACCTCATTGTGAATTCGGGCGGGATGCATTGATCTTGTAATGCTCAACAGTGCTTTTTTTAAGCTTTGAGAGCTGAAACAATGGAACAATAGTGGAGAACCTCAACAGAACACTGTTAAGTGTTGAGGGCAAAGGATAAGTGGAAATGGAGATCAGGAACTGCCACAACACTGTGAGGAGGAACATTTTTCACAACGTACTGTTTGTGCCGAGCTGCAATGTGAACTTGATGAGTGTAGCTCGGCGGTGGCTAGGTATCTGCTGACACCCCATGGAGGACAGCTACCTCTTAAGCAGCGCGGTATGCCTTTGTTTTTTCAGTGAAAGTTCAGTAGGATCCAGTGACATAAGCAAAGGGGGAAACCAGTTATACAATGTTGTGGCACCGACGACTGGGGCACCTCAACCAGCAGGACTTTTCATCGCTTAACAATGTAGACGCTCTAGGGTTCTGCGATGTGTTTACAGCTTCCAAGCAGGGGCAACAGCTATTCAGTGACATCAGGGGATCCTTTGAAGTACTGAGCCTTTTTGGTGCTCGCTATACCTTGAGCTTCATCGACGAATTCAGTCGGCTAGGTGTGGTCAAGTACCTGGGGAATAAGAGTGATTCCTTACTGAAGTTTCAAGAGTTTGTGGCTTCAACAGTTTCAACAAAAAGCACCGGAGTGCCTGTTAACTGACAATAGAGGTGAGGATTCGTCAAATGTAATCAGGAGATTTTGAAAAGAATCCCAGGTGAAGAAAATTTTCAAGGAGCCCATCACTCCCCAACAGAAAGGTGTAGTAAAGCGCTGCAACAGACTGATCACCGCAAGGACTGAATGTCTGCTGGCCGAAGCAAAACTATCGAAGATGTTCTGAGTGTGAGCAATGTCGACAGCTGTGAGAGTTCGAAAATTGTGTCCCATATTCAGAAATGAGAAGCGTTTTTGATCAACGGAGATGCACAATTGAAAATTATCAAACTGAGTTTTTTGCGTGTGCTCGGTTAACTGGCGTACTATCTGATCGACACACAGGCAGAAACTGGATCCAATGGTCAGGAAAAGCAAGTTCATCGGCTAGGATGAGGAGATCAATGCCTATTTTTGATGGAGACAGGACAAGTTGTGCAAGCAGGAAGCGTGTTTTTTAATGAAATCATCATTGCATATGACTTCAAGCTTCACAGTGAGCTAATGCAAACCCTGGAGCTATCAATTGAGGTACAAATTTTTATTGAGCAACCAAGCATTCAGACAACCAGCTAAGCAACAAGAACGGAAACTGAGGGTGATACTGCAGATTGAATGGGGCTACTGACGATGATCAAGACGAGGATGAAGCAGTAGATACACACTCTATTGAGCATCCCGTGCAGAGGTCCATTAGGACGAGGAACCCATCCATTTGATACGGACTGCCCTATATCCATGTTTCAGCGAGTGGAATCCAAGAGCCAAGGGGCTATTCAGAAGCAGTGCCGGAGCCCGAAAAGGAGATGCGGCTGGCAGCCATTGTCTTAGAAGTCAAGACTCTAGAAGCCATGGTAACATGGACAACTGTTGATGAACCAAAATCTCGAAAGCTGTTCCTGGACGATGTGTTCTTGCTGTGACGAGAGATGCGATAGAACAAGCAGGGCGGTTCCTAGCTCGACATGTAGTGAAGGGGTTCATGCGAATGGAAAGACTTTAATTCAATAAGACATTTGCTTCGACCTCTAAAACCGGAACAAAGAAAACTTTTCATGATCTTGGTTCCGGTGTGAACTTGATGAGTGTGAACTTGATGAGTGTAGCTCGGCGGTGGCTAGGTATCTGCTGACACCCCATGGAGGACAGCTATCTCTTAAGCAGCGCGGCATGCCTTTCTTTCTTCAGTGATGTTCTGAGTGCGAGCAATGTCGACAACTGTGAGAGTTCGAAAGTTGTGTCCCACATTCGGAAATGAGAAGCGTTTTTGATCAACAGAGATGCACAATTGAAAATCATCAAACTGAGCTAATTGCGTGTGCTCGGTTAACTGGCGTACTATCTGATCGACACACAGGTAGAAACTGGATCCAATGGTCAGGAAAAGCAAGTTCATCTGATAGATAGATGAATAAGTCAGCCTTAGTCAACTCTCCTGTAATAGAGACAGTCCCAACAGAGCAGCCAACTGGGTTCAGAAGCTATCAAAGCCAAGTGTGTTTCCTACAACGAAATTTTTATCAGCGCAGAGCAAGAGACTAGTACCTGACGTTGATTACTTTCCTACTTGATAAAGGGTTCACGGGAAGCAGAAACGAAATTTTTTTTTCACATTGAGGAGAGCAATGATTAATGGGATGGTTTGGGTAGATGACTTCATCTTTGGGTGAAGACGTCAAGATGAAAAGGGTAAGATGAGGGGCGGTTATCCGAACGATTCAAGATGGATGACATAGACGTTTTGTCCTGGCTCCTGATACTAACGGTGAATCGACGATTGCTTGTACAGGCGGTGTCCATGAAAGCTGAAGACTACAGAGGTTTTGTGGGCTCATTATTATTCGTAGATAAGCCGTGATATCTTAGCTACTGTGATACAGCCGTGATATCCTAGCTACTGTGACGCAACTCTCCAGTTTTCTTCAGAATCTGGAAAAGTGCACAGGGTGGCTGCAAAGATTTTGTTACCTAAGATCTGGAGCTGTGCCACACCAAGGACGCTGATGGTGCAAGGCTCTATGGATCCGAAACTCCACAGTTCTGGCTGACAGAAGATCAACTACTGGCTACAGCTTTCAGCTTTGTTTTGCAGAGGGCATGGGCAGCAATTAGATTGAGCACCAAGAAGCAACCAACTGCAGCCATATCTACCAGTGAGGCTGACTACTAAGCAAAGGCGGTAGCGGTTCAAAAGGCTCTAACTCAGTGATCTTTTTCTCGATGAGATGGGAGTGGTGAATGACGGACCAACAGTCATCAAGGAGGACAACAGCACAGCTGCATCAAGATATGCAAGACTCCTGTGATGCAGAAGCGAACGAAGCGCATCGATGTAAAATAACTTTTTGTTCGAGAAAGAGTGGAAGATGAGACAGTTAAACTTCAGTATTGCCCTTTTGATATCGTTAAGGCTAAGGTGAAACAACATCGTCGAATCTTGATGTGTTGCAGTCTGACATATGTCAAAGCCAATTGAGCCTAAGTGAGGTTATTGAGGTCAGACAATCACAAGATCAGACATATTAATCGACGCGAATCAGTTTAGAGGTCAAACTGATTAAAATAGTCATAACTGACTTAACTCAGACAAGGTCAACTAGTGATCACAAACTTTTTATTCATTCAGCAATTTTTTATTTGGTACTTTTGTGATGCTTAGTTTATCATGTCTCTATCTTCATTTTCTCAATCCATTTTTCAAAAATCCCTACTTTTTCTCAATCCTCAGTTCAAACTTCAGGTTTTATCTCAATCTCTATTCCCAGCCCTTAATTCTAGTTGCTCTAACGCTGAATCTTAAAAATAATTTATTTGTTTTTCATACTTTATATCGTAACATCGAGTGTTTAGCCGTTACAGCACGTAAAACAGTAATTACAACAGTAAAACAGCTATTGATTTTTGGAATTGAAACAAACTAAAGTCATTTATTTGCTTGCTTTGGTTTCTGTTTTGAAGACTTTTTTGTTTCAACAATCGGAGAAATTAGGGAATATAAATTTTTGAGGTTGTTTTTCTTCGTTCAAACGATGGGAAAACCACATATTAAATAAAACAATTTATAGTATTTTTTTTTAGACAAAATTCGACTTTTTAACTAGCAAAAAATTTAGTAAAAGTGGGTTAGTTTTCAGAGCAGTGGTTATATTGCATATTTTAAATCAGAGTATACTAAACTTGTTTCAGTTGTCATAACCGAAACACCGGGTGTAAAACTACGTTTATGGATGGGCGGCCTCTGCACGAAGAAAGAAAAAAGTGCCCCGGAACTTCCGGAGGAGGTCGATCTCTCCCACTTCCAAATCCTCCGATCAATCGGAAGGGGCGCATTCGGAAAAGTCTGTATCGTGAAGAAAATCGATACGGACAAATTTTACGCCATGAAATACATGAACAAAAAAGCTTGTCTGCAAAATAAAGCGGTTGAGTATGTGTTAAAAGAACAACAGATTCTTATGGCGTTAACTCATACTTTCTTATGCAATTTATGGTACACATTTCAAGACCAAGAAGACATGTTTATGGTCAGCGAGCTGTTCCGAGGTGGTGATTTAAGATTTCATATTGACTCAAAATCGACTGTTTTTGACAAACATACGTTGAAAATTTACGCTTTGGAAATTGGTCTCGCGTTGGATTATTTGAAATCAAAAGGGGTGGTTCATCGAGACATTAAGCCAGATAACATTCTTCTGGACGAAAACGGACATCTGGCGCTGACAGACTTCAATGTGGCAGCTATTTGCACTTCGGAGAAACGACTTACAAATTTAGCAGGCACGAGTTCTTTTCTAGTTTACAACCATTTGCAGATGATATATGAGCTATTTTTCATCGTTGAAGCTCGCAACCAATTAGAAATACAAAAACTTATAGTCATTTATGATTTTTGGGTGTCTATGATTTATGCGAGAACATGACTGGAAAAAAATTTGTTTAAATATCTAAGTCAAAGTATTAATCTATCAATATGTAATAACGCGAACTCATCATAATTTGTTAGTCAAAAATGATAAAGCAATGAAAAATGAAAAGCCCATAAAATTGATACTTTCTATTTTTGGGCAAACCTTTCATTGAAAACTATTATAAATAAGATTGATCTTAGTTCTCTGCCATAAGGAAAAAGGCAAATTGGTAAAAGTGTGCACAACTGCTGTGATTAGGGACGAAGCACTACATGGCACCCGAGTTACTAGAGACGGCCACTCGGAAGTCGAAGAGCTACTCGTTCGAAGTGGACTGGTGGTCCACAGCCGTCACCCTCTACGAGACATTCAGGCACTTTTCCACTTTTCCCCCTCCATTCCCCCACCCCTTTACTCACCTTAACTTATACACGAGGAAAAAACACACAATATACAAGCGTCATTTCGTGAAGCCGCCGTTGCGCCACGAAATTGAAAAATGATTGTATCGAAATATTTTTTCAAATCGTCATGTCGGATTAAAATAACTGAAAGTATTCCGCAAGCGTAATTAGTATGTACCTTGAAAAGTTTCTGAGTTGTTACTGAATATATTATATAACCAGATAGGGATTTGAGGGAAAAGTGATGCCCTGATTTAGACGCCGACTGCCATACGAGATCCCAAACAACGTGCAACTATCTGATTGTTATCGCTTCATTAAAACCACAGATGTCAAATGGACCAGTAAAATATCCGCTTCGAGCTATTAGGCTGAGTTTTTTAACCAAATGTAACAGAAAACTAAAATATTTTATTGATTTGATGAATTACATACCATCTTCCAGTAGTGGACTTTTTACTATCAAAATGGTTCAAAATAAATAACACATTTTTATCAATCAAAACTTTGCACAAAAAACTACGTTTTTTTTCAAAAAAAATACTCAGTAAGAATTGAAAATTGAAACCGAATAACTTTTTCCCCAGGCATTTACAGAGTTTCAAGGAAAAAATTGCACCCTTAAACCTCAATAAAACATTTTCTGTCAATGCGAGGGATGTTTTCACGACCCCCCTGACTGGGACCCCGATTTCGTGGAAGTGCTGAGGTCCATGCTGGATGTTAACCCGAAACACAGAGTGAGCAGCTGCGACGAACTGAACAGAATGAAGTTCTTCGGGGGTATGAAGAAAGAAGAAGTGCTGAACAAACTTGTAAGGCCGAGTTTCGTTCCATCGGATAAGAATATTAATTGCAACGCTACTTTCGAACTTGAAGAGATGATTTTGGAGGCGGAACCCTTGCATAAAAAGGGATCGATTTATTATTTTGTTAAAGTAGCTCATTTTTTTCGGGTTGCAACTCAATTGAACACTGAGCTTAAACGAGAAAGAATCCAAAGAAGAAATCCAAAGATGATAACATGTAATAATTTGAAACTGCTGAAAAAGTTGTATTTAAATTTCGTCGGCTATTTTTGAAACGCTTGAAACTTTTTGTTTAGATTTGCGTGAATATCAACTTGCTCTCTTAAAAACTGGAAAAAATAAAGTAAAATGGCTTGAAAATTTTAAAATGTTCGCAGAAGCACCAATATTTTTTTAAATCGAATCCACATCCACGCCAGAGCTTGTGAATTCAAAATTTTCAATGAATAGTTCAAAAAACTAGGTCCATATTTAAATTTTAAATCGATCCATGTACAGAAAAAGCGACTGAAAGAAATGGAAGAGAGGAAGAGCTTTGACGCCTAAGCCGACAACCAAATGTTTGCAAAGTACCTCAACTTCGACCGAATGAAAGACTGGAAAGTAGACGTGCAATTAATCGACAACGAGATGCTCAAACAAGACTTGGCCGCTGCACCTCTGGCTCCAACTCTGAATCCGAGCCCATTGCCACCGACCGAAGAGTTAGGAGGGCCGAAAGCGTCGGGGGGAACGCCACCACCGGAGCCGGCTTTGAACTTGGATGGACCTGGCGCTGCGCCTCTGGATAAGATGATGAGTTTGAAGTCGAATAAGACCTAGTCATTTCTAGCCAAGCTGAAACAACAAAGGGACAGGAAAAGAAAACAAAGAAAAAACATTAATTTCATTGCACCAGCTCTTCTCATAATTACGAACTCAGATTGACTTAGAGGAGGCAGCGAATGATTACTAGAACAGATTTCGATATTCTTGAAATTGTAGCATCTTTCTGCCATTCTATTTTGAGCTTTTAAAGAATGGGATCTCATTCATTTTATACTCAAAAAAGAATAGAAAAAAATGATACACTTATAACAAAAATCCTCAACGAATTGGAAAATTTGCAATTTGGTTGTTTTGGCGTCAAGATAATTGTTTGATTTGCAGGTGCAGACATTTTGGCGCCGAAATTGGAGTGATTGAGAAAACGCGTTTAAATTATCTGAAACCTCACCGTTATCACTTTAAATTCTTCTCAATTTGTGGGTTGTGTTCTTTACCGACCACAATTGATAAAGACCTTACCGACCTCAATTGATAAAGACTCAAAGCTAGATTCACCAAAAGTTGGACGTTCTTGCATGCACAACCCATTGAAACGACCTGAAAGTAGATCATATACAAATTAATGAAAGTAGCCGATTTCTACTTTTTGGCAAACACTTTCAAATAAGCTAATTTTATGATTTTGAAGTTTCAAATAATTGTGCCTTGAGCAGGGCATACAATACTTTTCAAAAACAGCTTTTTTTAGCGTATTTGAAGAAATTTATTTCTGAAAACGGAAGAATTATCCAATTATCGGGGTTCCAGAATTACGTTAACTACAAAAAAAGTTTGCTTGCATAATTTTATAGGCGTATGGGGGTCTGGATGACAAAGATCGACTGTGTGGGAACAAATGGTTATGGCAATGGCACTAAGGCCTGGAAGCTGCTTCAAGAGAAATTCTGCAGCGTAAAGAGGCCGATCATGGTCCGTCTAGTAGGCTAGCTTGCGAGGATCAGAGAAGGATCCCGACGATTGCTTCGTTTGCAGCCAAGAGCTGATGAGGCGGTTGAGCGAAGCTGGAGTAGGAATCACGGAAGGAAAACTATTCAAAGATCTGGTGGTTAATGGGCTGCCTGACAGCTATGAGCATTTTTTGGTGCAGGGGAGCTTGCAACCAGCCGAAAACTTTGCGGAGCTGAGAACGAGACTGAGGAGCTAGAATGAATCGAGCAAGGCTGCATGTGGATGGACTAGACGTGGTCACATAGCCATTCAAGCTGCAAGAAAGAAGAAAAAAGTGTCAAGTAGTGGCTGTTAGGTGTGCTGCCAGTAGGTTCATATAGTGAAAAATTGTTAAACCAGAAGTTATCGTGGAAAATTTAATGCTCGAACCAGCGGGTTGATCGAAGCAAGTGGGCCGAGTGAAAAAAAGCAAGGGTGCCTCAAGTGCGGGCAACCTGGACATTTTGCCAAGTAGTGTAAGCAGGGGAGGACAGGGTTCTTCTTTTGCTGTGCGAAATTTTCAATAAGGAAGACGACCTCATTGTGGATTCGGGCGGGATGCATTGATCTTGTAATGCTCAACAGGGCTTTTTTTAAGCTTTGAGAGCTGAAACAATGGAACAATAGTGGAGAACCTCAACAGAACACTGTTAAGTGTTGAGGGCAAAGGATAAGTGGAAATGGAGATCAGGAACTGCCACAACACTGTGAGGAGGAACATTTTTCACAACGTACTGTTTGTGCCGAGCTGCAATGTGAACTTGATGAGTGTAGCTCGGCGGTGGCTAGGTATCTGCTGACACCCCATGGAGGACAGCTACCTCTTAAGCAGCGCGGTATGCCTTTGTTTTTTCAGTGAAAGTTCAGTAGGATCCAGTGACATAAGCAAAGGGGGAAACCAGTTATACAATGTTGTGGCACCGACGACTGGGGCACCTCAACCAGCAGGACTTTTCATTGCTTAACAATGTAGACGCTCTAGGGTTCTGCGATGTGTTTACAGCTTCCAAGCAGGGGCAACAGCTATTCAGTGACATCAGGGGATCCTTTGAAGTACTGAGCCTTTTTGGTGCTCGCTATACCTTGAGCTTCATCGACGAATTCAGTCGGCTAGGTGTGGTCAAGTACCTGGGGAATAAGAGTGATTCCTTACTGAAGTTTCAAGAGTTTGTGGCTTCAACAGTTTCAACAAAAAGCACCGGAGTGCCTGTTAACTGACAATAGAGGTGAGGATTCGTCAAATGTAATCAGGAGATTTTGAAAAGAATCCCAGGTGAAGAAAATTTTCAAGGAGCCCATCACTCCCCAACAGAAAGGTGTAGTAAAGCGCTGCAACAGACTGATCACCGCAAGGACTGAATGTCTGCTGGCCGAAGCAAAACTATCGAAGATGTTCTGAGTGTGAGCAATGTCGACAGCTGTGAGAGTTCAAAAATTGTGTCCCATATTCAGAAATGAGAAGCGTTTTTGATCAACGGAGATGCACAATTGAAAATTATCAAACTGAGTTTTTTGCGTGTGCTCGGTTAACTGGCGTACTATCTGATCGACACACAGGCAGAAACTGGATCCAATGGTCAGGAAAAGCAAGTTCATCGGCTAGGATGAGGAGATCAATGCCTATTTTTGATGGAGACAGGACAAGTTGTGCACGCAGGAAGCGTGTTTTTTAATGAAATCATCATTGCATATGACTTCAAGCTTCACAGTGAGCTAATGCAAACCCTGGAGCTATCAATTGAGGTACAAATTTTTATTGAGCAACCAAGCATTCAGACAACCAGCTAAGCAACAAGAACGGAAACTGAGGGTGATACTGCAGATTGAATGGGGCTACTGACGATGATCAAGACGAGGATGAAGCAGTAGATACACACTCTATTGAGCATCCCGTGCAGAGGTCCATTAGGACGAGGAACCCATCCATTTGATACGGACTGCCCTATATCCATGTTTCAGCGAGTGGAATCCAAGAGCCAAGGGGCTATTCAGAAGCAGTGCCGGAGCCCGAAAAGGAGATGCGGCTGGCAGCCATTGTCTTAGAAGTCAAGACTCTAGAAGCCATGGTAACTTGGACAACTGTTGATGAACCAAAATCTCGAAAGCTGTTCCTGGACGATGTGTTCTTGCTGTGACGAGAGATGCGATAGAACAAGCAGGGCGGTTCCTAGCTCGACATGTAGTGAAGGGGTTCATGCGAATGGAAAGACTTTAATTCAATAAGACATTTGCTTCGACCTCTAAAACCGGAACAAAGAAAACTTTTCATGATCTTGGTTCCGGTGTGAACTTGATGAGTGTGAACTTGATGAGTGTAGCTCGGCGGTGGCTAGGTATCTGCTGACACCCCATGGAGGACAGCTATCTCTTAAGCAGCGCGGCATGCCTTTCTTTCTTCAGTGATGTTCTGAGTGCGAGCAATGTCGACAACTGTGAGAGTTCGAAAGTTGTGTCCCACATTCGGAAATGAGAAGCGTTTTTGATCAACAGAGATGCACAATTGAAAATCATCAAACTGAGCTAATTGCGTGTGCTCGGTTAACTGGCGTACTATCTGATCGACACACAGGTAGAAACTGGATCCAATGGTCAGGAAAAGCAAGTTCATCTGATAGATAGATGAATAAGTCAGCCTTAGTCAACTCTCCTGTAATAGAGACAGTCCCAACAGAGCAGCCAACTGGGTTCAGAAGCTATCAAAGCCAAGTGTGTTTCCTACAACGAAATTTTTATCAGCGCAGAGCAAGAGACTAGTACCTGACGTTGATTACTTTCCTACTTGATAAAGGGTTCACGGGAAGCAGAAACGAAATTTTTTTTTTCACATTGAGGAGAGCAATGATTAATGGGATGGTTTGGGTAGATGACTTCATCTTTGGGTGAAGACGTCAAGATGAAAAGGGTAAGATGAGGGGCGGTTATCCGAACGATTCAAGATGGATGACATAGACGTTTTGTCCTGGCTCCTGATACTAACGGTGAATCGACGATTGCTTGTACAGGCGGTGTCCATGAAAGCTGAAGACTACAGAGGTTTTGTGGGCTCATTATTATTCGTAGACAAGCCGTGATATCTTAGCTACTGTGATACAGCCGTGATATCCTAGCTACTGTGACGCAACTCTCCAGTTTTCTTCAGAATCTGGAAAAGTGCACAGGGTGGCTGCAAAGATTTTGTTACCTAAGATCTGGAGCTGTGCCACACCAAGGACGCTGATGGTGCAAGGCTCTATGGATCCGAAACTCCACAGTTCTGGCTGACAGAAGATCAACTACTGGCTACAGCTTTCAGCTTTGTTTTGCAGAGGGCATGGGCAGCAATTAGATTGAGCACCAAGAAGCAACCAACTGCAGCCATATCTACCAGTGAGGCTGACTACTAAGCAAAGGCGGTAGCGGTTCAAAAGGCTCTAACTCAGTGATCTTTTTCTCGATGAGATGGGAGTGGTGAATGACGGACCAACAGTCATCAAGGAGGACAACAGCACAGCTGCATCAAGATATGCAAGACTCCTGTGATGCAGAAGCGAACGAAGCGCATCGATGTAAAATAACTTTTTGTTCGAGAAAGAGTGGAAGATGAGACAGTTAAACTTCAGTATTGCCCTTTTGATATCGTTAAGGCTAAGGTGAAACAACATCGTCGAATCTTGATGTGTTGCAGTCTGACATTTGTCAAAGCCAATTGAGCCTAAGTGAGGTTATTGAGGTCAGACAATCACAAGATCAGACATATTAATCGACGCGAATCAGTTTAGAGGTCAAACTGATTAAAATAGTCATAACTGACT